GGGGGAAAGGGGGGGGGGGGAGGAAGGAGGGGGTTACACGTCTACTCGATAAAAGTTAATTAGTCCCCTTAATGGATAACAGTCTCGATCGGACTGTCGATGCTAACCGCAGGGCCGCCTGGTGGGAGGGGTCGAGGGGAAACGTCGAATCGAGGGGAATCAGGGGAGAGATAGAAGCGGAGTCCAGCAGGTCAAGGGAAGGATCGACCCTTAAGGGTAAGAAGGTGGCAGCTGTTCCAGGAGCTAGAGAAAGAGACCCTTTCCTTGGCTTTATAGTCGCGTCGACCTTTCTGTACTATATTTACAGTGCCACTCGCCTTTACGGGTGACGAGCGTTACGTACGGAGTAAGAGACAGGAGAGCGAGAGAGAGGGAGGCGCGGTGGAGGGAGGACCGAGTGAGAGAGACAGTGACAGCTGAACGGAGCGAAGGCCATGGCAATGAATGGTTAGGGAGGAACGAGGAGAAAGGAGGATAAACAGAAAAAAAAAAAAAAGAGTGTAAAGGAACCAAAAGTCTACCGCCTGGTTCAGCCACTTTCCTTGGCCAGACTGAAATTCGAACCTGCCACTGAGACAATGGCGCCCGCGGCATCGTTAATTTACTTCCAGCAACCGGTTCGGTAGGTGCTAGTAGCCTATCGAGATAAACACGGTCCCCGCGTTCGGTCATCTCAGATGAAAGCGCATTATATCTGTATGATGTGTGTAGGCATGTATAGACGTACCGTAGGTACAGGGTACAGGGAGAGCTTTTCTAAGCCGGTTCTCGAAATTTTCAATCTAGGAGCGACCACCTGTCACCGGTTCAGGACCTCGATTAACAAAGGACTAATTTGGATTTTGGATTCGATATAATGGGTGGAAAAATTTTTAAATTTTTACGTTGGAAGCTCATAGGTCATTTTTCAAAATGATAGCGTAAGCTGCTATGCGAATCTCAAGGATTCACGGGCTGCTCTTGCCTGAACTCTCGGCGCCATCTTTCGCTCCAGTTTGCCCATAAGTTTTCCGAGTGCGAGTTCTTGGCTGTTTTTTTTTGTCTTTTTCTCTCGTGCGTCTCCTAGGACTGTGTGAGAGAGTAAGAGACAAAATTTTCGACGTGGATGCAGATGCGGATGCTGCGTTCTATATCCGGCGTTACTCGTGTCTACTTTTATTATGGGATACGGGCTCGGGTTCTACTTTAGATTTTGTACGGTTCTTCGCTTCGGGACGCTTTTTGAATTTGCCAATTCGAATGATCTGGGGATCGAGTTTTTAGTTTTCTGGGTCCAAAAAAATACTTCGGGTATGTGCGAGGTGGATCGTTTTGGTGCTTTGTATACAGATTTGACATTTTTAGGGATATTTCGGGAGTGCTTTTTTTTTTTTAATTTTTCACAAATAATACTGACACGGTGTAGTCGTGTGGTATTCGTACAAAAGCAGGTATTATGGTTTCGCCCAAGGACCGAGTCTAGCCTGTGTCGAATTCCAGGTCAATTTTTATTATTTCTTTCTTTGTCGTCAATGCCTAGCGAGATGCAAGGAGAGCTGTATATAGGCATAGGACAACGAAAGCAAGTTCAGAAAAAAGCATAAGAACGGCGAGGAAGAAAAAAAAAACGTCAAAAACTGGTTTCCACCCGAGAACGCGATACTCGCTCCGTCGTAATAGACTGAGGTGGAAATTTATATCGGGTTACAGGGTAAGAGAAACAACCGTGTAACTACTACGTTTTGCGGTACTAACTATCGTTGCTGAATAATCGAAATAGTTGCTGGAGGCTACGTTGTCAGGTAGACGTTGCTGGTACTCGGTACTCGTCGCTTTATACCATTTTCATATTATTTTGGAATATTCATTAATGCGTTACACGCGGTGCACGTCAAAGCGCGTGAAATAAATCCTATTAATTTCCGAGCGTGCAACTGGCTTTGCGCGACGCGATATAAATTTTCGAAAAACAAATTCGTATCGTCAATAATTTCACGATTCGCTGAAATATGTGAAAACGCTAGTAAGATTTTTCGATATCTGCCAAAAATCGACGGAGCAAGCCGAATGGATATTTTTTATTGGGTAAACAAGTCGGCAGATTCACGCGAACGAGGAACGGACGTCGGAAAGGAATGAAGTTGAACGAGGGATCGAGGAATTGGAACGACAACGCGAGAAACGTATTAAAGAACGTAACGAGGCAAACGAATGACAATTTTACGTAAATATTTGCCAACGAGTCGAACTGCAATTGTTTCCAAGACAGGAACTAATAAATGTCTGCTTGTACGAAAATGTCCGAGGTAAAGAGTTATTCACAGGCAGATCGTAGCTTCACGTGTTACAGAGGAACCCTCGAAGGAAAACAGATCCACCGCTGGTGGTGTCTCTTAAAACAAACATAGCAGCCCATGAAACGCACCGATGCCGTACCAGCCATCGCATTTCTTTTCGTTCTCTCGTTTCTTAGGAATCCGAAAATACCGTTTACGAACAAGGAAAACATTTAAACAGGTTACACCGCGGCACCTTATGTGCAGGACGGATGACAGAACGGTACGGACCAAAATATTCCGTCGGTAAATACACTTAGAAGTAGTGAGGAAGACGACGCGAAAAAAAAAACAACATGGAGGAGCGTAAGGTTACGGCGAAAAAGAATCATCGATACAAACAGGCAACGCTTTACCATTATTAACGGTTTACCATTTTGTTACGCGCTTCGAAAACCCTATCCTGGTACACGAATGACAAATTGTTACCGACAAAGCGATTAATCGTTAGAAGTAAAAACTTTTATTTACTCACCTCACGGCAAATTCTCCATGTGACACGAGGTTCAAGTAATCCAATGGTAATATCCTCCAACCGTCGAATATTTGATAAAGATTACGCTTCATGCATTTCACTGTTATCGGAAACACTTTTTTTCTTCAAATAAACACGACCCACTAATAAATCCAGCGATCACGCACTATACGAAACGATACAATAGTCACAAACACGGGAATCTTATCCAAGACACTACTTGAAAACGTTTAAACCGAGTTCATGTGCGCGCGACGCGTATACCCGTCACGGCGGAGCGGCAAGCCGAAACTAAAGCGTCGCGCTGATGCCGAGAAAGGCGAGCCTAGACTTCCCCTTCCATCAGCCACGCTCTTACAGGCTAGCCAACCCAATCCCTTTTGCAGCCTGAGTTCCCTATCAGTGTTATGCACAGTCATGGCTTCTATAGAAACATACGATGCACCGTACAGCAGCGTATTGGAGTAACTCAGAAAAATTGGATTAAAAATTAAATATTAATTTTTCATACTAATTCTAACGACGCACTAAATATATAAATACGTACATCCCATGAAAATAAGAACACTACAGATACATTTTTTAATTGCCTACGTGCCTATTATGTATTTTTTATTTTTCAATATTTCTTACAATCGGTCACGGAAAATCCAGCAAGTCCTGCGAGCTGTCTTGAATACGTATCGATTACAAAGCTCGATCGATTTCACGAGGATCGGCATGGAGATCTCAGATAAGAGCATCGGTAATAGAAAACAAGCTTATCTTCTTCCTCGGTTCTTTGTATACTAGCTGTACGGTATTTTTTAAGAGAATCCAAAAACTCTTATAAAACCTCATATTAATTATTAATATCGATACCGATCGAACATCGTGGTCCCTTATTCAAATTTGATAATTGTAAAATTAATTAACCATTCGCTCACGCGTAATTTATTCGTCCGAAATAACTGTGTAAACACTCGGCATCAAAATTCCCGTAATTCACGTAATTAGTTTGCGCCGGATAAATTCGAGAAACGATAACAGTCGGAAAATCATATTTCGATAGCTGCTGTTTAATGTATAATCATTAAGTCAGGACGGTGTGTTTATAACCTCAATTTTCTATCTTGTATTATCATCGTCATATATACAATATACCCATATACGTATACATACCTCCTGCAATGCACTGAAATACCTTCTTTTGCTCCTCTATCGTGACGTTCAAGTACGTAGCACTTAAAAGACTCTATTATCAAGGTGTTACTTCCTCGTCGAACAAAGAAACTCGTAAAATCGTTGTGGCGTCCAAGTATACTTCTGAAAGCCCCTACAATTCTCACAGTTGCATGCCGCGTCAAAATGTAATCTGTCCTCGGTTACGATTCTGCCAGCCTTATCGTAATCGTGGATTTTCCTCCCTTTTTCTCACAGTACATAAACCTGTACCTTTATTAACCCAATTCCACAGTCAGGCATTATCCACCAGCAGTCCTACCAAAATCAGCTGAGACCCCTCTTGCATTTTTTTTTTTTTTTTTCTTAAAATTTTTATCTTTATCTCTCGACAAGAAAAACGAGTTACTCTCCTTTTTTTCTTTTTTTTTTTTATTCACAACGATGCGTCATCGATATGAGATCATTTAGACTCATAACTATGGAACGCGACGGCATACGAAACGACGCTAGGTGAGACGTCTGACGTTACGCACGGATTCCGCATAACTGTCGTGTACCGGCTATAACTTTGAGGCTACGCCAATGGCGTCACGTGACTCTTTTTTTTTATACTCGCTAAACGTACGTGTTTGAGAAGAAAAAAAGAAATTTCAAATTTGTCAAACACGACTCTCGGGCTTCTAGAAACTCGACGATGAACGCAGTCGGAAATAAGATGGAACAAAGTGTCATGACAGACTATCAAATCACTGCTGGATGCTGCTGGACCGTCTTGAGATCTGTTGCTGGTACCGTTAACGTATATAGAATATATAAACACTTCTGCCAGTCGAATAAGAGACCCGCTCAAGTGGCACTCGAAGTCGTCACATGAAAATGAACTCCAGACAAATTTGTAGTATCAGCAACGCACCTGATGGATGTAATAAATTTTTAGAAAATTTAAAATTATTTTTTACAATTTACGTAATTTTTGTCTCTAGCGCGTGGAGCGACTGTAGTTGTGATTTTACCGAAAATTTATGATTCGTGTAAATTTAGTGATTTTAACACGGGTGTCCGTTAAATAGAAACGTTTCTTGAGGCTCGATTTACTGCTCAACTTGCTCTATGATTAATCCATGATTTTCATACTGCTGAAACGTTATTCATACACGTTGGAATTATTGCTGCTCTACACTGTGTAACCTTAAGTCACAGCAATGGCCTATGTATGTAAATGACGAGATTTACTAATGGACTGACGTGTCGCTGAGAACTTAGGAGAGAGATGATATGCAAGGGGTCTCTAACCGTCGCGAAGTTTCTGTTGCTGTTGTGGTGTCCCTGACGACGTTACGTTAATTAAGAGCAATGTAGCAACCTGATGACACGTGGACGTACCAGCAACAGATACAGGAATACATGAAATCCCATTAGAAAAAAAAAAAGACTATAGTCGCTTGTACAAAGAAATTATAAATAAATAAAAAATTTTGAATTAAGAATCAGCAACGTTGCTGAAAATTTTCAAAGCCTATATATACATATATATATATACCCCGAAGGAATCTTGTACCAAAGAGCAGATTTGTATATCATAGTTAATTAACCGATTAGATTAAAAAAATAAAAAAAATTACTAGATCCAAAAAACACGATGCAAGAAATTGACACTGGAATTATTTTTCTTCCTATCGGTTGGTACTCCTGTCTTGAAAAAAAAAAAGACAGGAACTTGATGCTACGGAGCCCAATCCGTCATCGACCTATTAGTCATGATAAGATAGTAGAGTATTTTTTTTAACCGATAAATCGATAAGTGCTCTTGACTGAATCCACACTGAAGATATAGATATATATATAGAAGCACGAGCGGAAGAGTTTATTTGTTTAACATTGCATTCAGATTAGAGGATATCGATAAATAAAAATTTTATAACGTACTGTACAGTGTCGCGTACCATATCGTATTATTACGTCATGGTTTAATTAAAGAAAAAAATATCTGGAACGGAATTGAGAATAAGAGGATTAAATTTTTAGCACATGTTTTCTTTACTCGTATTAATGAAATTTTTATCAACATCAATTACTCTGGCTCACGTGCTTATGGGTTTTTTTTCGTTCTTTAGATTCATACCTATAGGCTATGGACTCCTCTCTCTTTAATCTTGCTTTACTAACTTCAAGTTCTCGAGGCATTACTGACTACGGAACACGGAACTTTAAGCGAGTACGTAGGTCGGTCGTAGGTAGGTCCAAGTACGGGAGTACCGTGTTTCATGAACACTGGGTAGAGAGAGACAGACAGGCGAGAGGAGAGCAGAGAGTAAAAGGAGGAAAATATATCCAAAGGAGGCTGAGGATGAATAAGGACAGAGATAAGCAGAATTGGTTGCCGCTGGAGCCAGTCGTGGTCCACACTCGACTCAAGGCTACCAACCTCTAAGCATCAATTAGCTGCCGACTGGCAACGTGTACGAGTGAAATGGTCATCTTGTGTTTCATCAAAAATTTGACAGTGCCAAAGACGTCTGATAAGAGCGTAGAAAAATTTTGAAAATATTTACCCCGATTTAATTTCCAAGTATTTAAAAACATTTATGCGTTTAATTGATTTTGTATATAAATTTTTTTTTTATTGAATCAAGATTTTTTTTTTGGATTTAATTTATATAACGTAATTTTTTTTTTGGCTATTGCTATATTGATATACGGTATTCGGATTATTGATCTTTTCGAGATAAGGTATCCAATGGAGTTCTACTGATTTAAGAAGATGCCTTGTCTCTTCTGTAACGTAGTGACTGTCCTCGTGGTGACGACAATGCGTCTCGTGGAAGAGAGCGTGGCGCCAACAGGTTCGCGTCTCGAGTACAATGAATCGCGTTCACCGGTAGAAAAACTTGCCAGACGAGAAAAGAGAAGTAAGATGCTGGGGAGTTGGTCCAGCCACGGTCGTGGTACACGATATACTAGACACCTTCGTGATCTCAGGGTCTCCTGCTCTCAATAGTATCTACTTTCTCGTTATCCCGTAGGTAAGGTAGGTACCTACCCTACGGGATATATATAACTTAGAATAAAGATAGTATATGCTTGTATTCGCGCATTGGCGTGGAATCAGGAAATCGAGTCAATCGACAGGCTTTACGAAAAGATGAAAAATACGTTACGACTTTATATTCTGCGAGGACTTTTTTCTTTCTTCTGTAACTCAATCGAGATGCTGGGGGGACGTCTTCATGAAATTTCGAATAACGAAGGTTATTCAGAAATCCACCCTAAATCCAACCATCCCCTATACAACGCTCTACTTGACGCGTGGCAACTTTTGGACTCTAACGAACACGTGGGAAGGGTGCAGTCCGAATTTATATACTTTAGGAACGCTCAGACTTATTTCTTAGACTATCTTTTCTTGACTTTTTATATATATATATATTTTTTTATTTATCCCTTTTCATTTTACCAAACTCCGATCCTTCGGAGTTACGCAGAAGTTTGATAAGCGTTATCGACTGGGTATATAAGGGTTTGATGGATAAAAGAAAAAAAATTGAGTAATAAGAGAAATATCTATTTCGAGTGAAATGTCAATATGGTAAGAAGGGTAGGTAAGGGCAGTCGCCTATACATATACACGAGAAATTGTAATATTTTGATATTAAACAAAAAATGCCGAATACAGCTAATTTCGTGTTCCTTTTTGCGTAATTAAGATTTTTAACTTTTTCAATTTCGAATTTAATCTTCATTATTCCCAACTGTCTCGTACGAATCTTTTGAAGTCTCTTTCAATCGCACCTGGATTCCACGAAGTCCTTACATCGCAAGAAGTTTCGCGCATCGACTGTGTCATTTATTTTGCAAATATCCCCATTGATCACGGTCTTGTTGACTGGGACTTTTTTTTTTCATTTTTTTTTTTCTTACCGAAACACATTCATACCCACATCTGGCTTATTTGTAGATTAAGCTTGTACATACGTAATTACTTACCGACGTACACAATTTTATACAGATTACAGTACACGTATCATGCATATGGCTTTTCGCCATAAGACGCTTAAAAAATGTTTACCGTACCCACATAAATTTCACGATTTTTTTAAATCCAAGTATTTTTGT